GTAAGTATATCCATGTGATATATGAACTCATCTAAATACAATTTGTATTTAAATACCCACAGCAACTGCTCATGGACTGATAAAGAATTATCTTTGACTGGTCTCAACAGATCATTTTGATTTATGAATGTAGAACCACTTGAATCTGCTCATGAACAGGAAGACACAAACTGAGCTGAATGCATTATTTAATACAGGGAATTCACAAGATATCTGTAAACAGTGGTATGCCCTTAGTAGAATCTCCTGCAACTTTTGTCGCAATCTTTGGAGATATTCTTTAACAAACAGCCCATAGTATTTAGGACACTAAATTTAAACTCATCTTGAATTAGAGGAAGAAGTTCAGCCGTAAATTTCCACTTGGAATAGGCATTTCAAATGCCTTGAAATAATGCAAAAAGAACAAGAGTTCCTCTGAATCCTGTATCCTGGTGGGCACAGCCTGAAAGGTTTTGAAATTTATATCAGTGAAATAGGTTCTTCATCACTGGTGTGGAAAAAAATTCCCCAGTATTAAAGGAGGAACATCCACTTCCAGAATACCTGAATGGTTTTATTTAGATAAGAAAGCACCAACTTCTAAAACCTGTTTTGTTTTCCTTTTTTTTTTTCTTCAGTTCCTTCTGTATGTTATTTTTGAAAATACATGTTGGTATTGATCAGAGACCTTCCTCAGTGACACCTTTAGTTACCAGATGTAAACATGCTGCAAATAGCTCACTCTGTGCAGGTCTGCCAGTGCCTCTCAACCTTGACAATGTGCTGTAAGTAACCTAGAAGGAAGGCTGTCAAGGGATTCCTGCCAAAGAGATCCAGGCTGCAATTTGCTGAAAGCATACTATCCGAGTACCCTGAGCTTGCTTGGAGTTCATTTTTTCTCTCAAGATTGTGCTTTTATGTGAAAGACTGTTGCAAATCCTGTTTTAGTATTCTGCTGACTATGCCAATTTGTCACAATTGAGTGGTTTAGGTGGCTTGAAGAATCACTGTCACAGGTATTGAGAAAAGTAAGTTTTAATATAAATTCATGAAAGTGCAACCAAGTTCAATGGCAATGTTCACTCTGTTATTTACTACGTAAATGAAGCATACAAAGGAATATAGGCTTAAAATCACTAGAATGATTTGCATGGAGACCAGGGATGCAAGTGATTAGGGTGCAAAGGGAAGGAAGACCTTCCCATAGAGTCACAAGGTTCAGAGTGGATGCCATTGAAAAACTTAACCTTACACGTGATCAATGTTTCATGCTGAAAGGATTTAAGTAGTACTTAATCAATTAACTAATTCAGCATTTATGCAGTAATTCAATAAAATTGACTAAAATTGCAGTAGTGACTTAATTATCCTTCTGAGATGTCAGTGTTTATGCTATACTTGCTGCAGGATATTTAAATCAATTCACACATATGCATGCACACAGACACAATGAAGTGTGTACAGAAGTACCCGTGAAAAATTCCCCCTGATTTCAGTCAAATACCCTGTCGAGTGCTTTGGCTTTTTTCAGCAGTTAGGGCTCAAGGAGTGAGACTTTATCTTCCTATGCCCTGTCTTCAGCTTTCTCACAAACATGAGAGCTTGCAAGCTCTGAGAGCCATCTCCCACTCAAAGGGAGATTCTGGTGCATTCCACTGGAGTCCAGGGAAGCTCAAAGGGCCTCATTTAGGACCTCTATTTATAGGGTAGTGAGATGTAATCTGTAAGATTTCCATCCTCAGATCAGTAATGACTAGATTTTCCAAAACAATTCCAAATTGTTTCCAATACAATTTCAAGTGTTTTTCAAAACTCCAGCCACAATGGTATTATTCCCCTTGGGTTATAGTTCAGGGAAAGTCCCAAGGCTGTAAGTGGGGGGCTGACTGTGCTCTTGTCCTTCATCTCAGGGATGTTCCCAGCTCAACCACTCAAGAGTTGCCATATGGTCAAGGGAAGCTTGACCACCCAACTCATCACACAAAGGCCAGTGCCCAGTGGGGATTCCTGAGGTTGTAGAGCGGCTCAAGAAAGAGTGTGGGGAGGAGAATGCACCACTGTGAAGACTTGAGACAAGAAATGAGGGGGCTTTTTATTGTTTAAGTAGTCGTGTTTGGCTTTATAAGTTGGTTTGGTTGCATGGGGTTTTTCTGGGGGGGGTTCTTTTGTTTTTTTTTTTTTTTCCAAAGTTTAGCCAATGTCAAGGGAGTGACAGAGTAAACTGATGCTGATTATTTTGTCTTTGGTGATGTGAAAGTTAAACTTGTTCTCTACCAAGGGAATGTCTTTGCAAAATGGCTGTTCAGGGAGCAATGATCTCTTCATCACATAAATGTTTGAGGCAGACTCCAGTAGGAACCTGGGCTGAAGTACTACGAACTGTTATACTGAGAAGGATGAACATGTTTCAGAAGATTTCAGGATCAGAAGACCTTTCCTGATGCTGTTTATTTGCAGCTGTTTTGGAGTGTTATTGTGCCCTTCTTGGTAAGAAGCTAGGTCTATATTGATGTGTTTTCCTTAACTCACACCTAGCAAAACTGAAGAGTGTGGATTGAAGGTTGCAGACATGAGACAGCCACAGTGCTGCACCAGCAATCATGCAAGAGCATGTGCTCTGTATGCCCACTACTACTTTGAGCAGTTTTATTGACACAAACTGAGGATGATCTGATTTCTTCTACACTTAGTGAGGGGTGTCAGGAGGCCTATAATGAATTTTATAGTGACCAGGCCACTTGCTGAAAATGCTTGTTCAGAAATAGTAATTCGTATGGAAGCTGCTGTCAGTCACAGCTTTTGCTGTGCTACTTGTTTAAGTGTGTAGCCCTGCATGTTCTTGGGGGCTGAGACACAGATTGATTTGCACCACATTATCACTGTAATGTTTTGTTAAAGCAATGCTGTGATTATAGGGAGAGATTTCTCAATTTATTATGCAGGAATATCCTGTAACTTCAGAAGAACTATAGAAATGGTGAGGGTGTTTTGATACCTCTAGCCCACGAAAATATAGAGATATTATCAATGGATTAGTTGTCCAGGACGTCATATCATAAACACCTAAAGTGAAATTGTTTCACTAGAGGTACAAGTGTTTGGAGGCCATCATTGCTTTCTTGATATTTGACAATGAAAAATCCTAAATGTTACATGAAGATGATATTTTATACATTTATGCTGCTGTACTTTTATATACAGCTTTTTAAAATTTATACTCTACATTTAAAAACAGTAAATTTATCGACACTGATTTTGTAATAGCCATGTTAGAAAAGACTGTTTATTTAACAAGTATACATTTTTTTCTATTTATGTTTCTCAGAAGTTGTACATAAGCAGACAGAGGACTTCACAGCATGTGTTTGTAGTACATCACCATCAGGTTAATATACTTAGCATAATTTTTTGTTTGTGTGTGACTATCCTGGATCTTCTTAAAAGAGTTGCTAAAAACCTGGGAAGATTTAAAGTTCTTAAAACAGAGTATTTAAAGGGAAAAAATTCACAAGTATTTTATAGGCATTGCATGACACTTGCTGGATTACTACACACTAAAAAAAGACAAGGAGAAATGAGAGCATGACACTTACAATGTTGGAAAATACCTGTTTTTTAGAGAAATAGACTGTTGAAAAGCATGGACCAACATTTAAAAGGGAAGTCATTAATGAATGGATTTTTTCAGTGGATTTAATATCAGGCCATAGATAGAAAAAGTGTGAGTATGGAATTGTGATTCATATTTGTAAGAGTACAATATTCTGTGATCAGGTTCTTCAGTTATTCCGTACATGGAGAATTTAATGTTTCAGGTTTATGTATTTGAGGGTATTTTACCTTAGGATTTTGATGTACTGATACCACAGTGCACTGCAATCACTATACAAGTACAAGTTCACACTTAGCAGAACGTAACAATTGACTATGTACATGAATCACAATACAAATATGATTCTTGTTTTACTGATCTTGTTTGATATGCTCATGGTCACAATGCTGATCATCCCCAGTTGCTGGGAAGTAATGTGGACTAAAGCCAGCTCAAGCCTTTGTCTCTTCAAATGTCTCTTTATTATTTGCTCACCTTTGGTACTGTGTTGGATTCAGCCAGATAGACCCTGTCCTATGCTTGTTTGGCTAACTCGGGAAGACATTCACACTCTTGTTTTTATTTTCATCAACTGGCAACAAACATTCATGAAACCAGTCTATCCATGCAACTGACACAGTCATTTAACTAAGACTAAGGCTGCTCTCTGGTCCCTTTTTTTGTTACATTCAGCTTCCTCTGCAACAGTGATGGTAAGTGGATTTTGTCTGAATTCATTGGGAACATGTCTGTGTAAGGATGCCTAGAATATTTTCAGAGGCAGGCACAGGACTGTTTTTGCATGCATCAAACTATGGAAAATTTGTGGAAAGAGCCCAAATAGGGTTTTTTTCCCAGTGGAAGTTTGTCATCTTGAGTCTTGTTACTTTATCTTCTGCTGAAAAGTCTGTTGCCACAGTCTTATTTTTTCATATGTGAATCTCCAGTTTAAAATCTTTTGGTCTTTCTAAAGTCAATCAGAAAGGTTCTGTTAAGGTCACTGAGACAGACCTTACCCATAGAACTAAGAAACAAAGCTGTGAGAGATTCATCAAAGCAACATATTCCCCTGGAAGTACAATGCCATTAGAATCTAATGTTTACTAATATGCAAACTTTGGTAGAATTAACTTAGTCTCTTAGTCATGTTCTTATATACATTTGTAAAATTACTGTTGCAGAGAGAGCTGAACTGCATTCATGTGAACTTAATGTTATCTGTTTGTCTGGGAATGGAGCTAAATTGTGAAGCAGCTTAATAGACTTGGGGCTCATTAGGTGTTCATTATAAATACATCTTTATAATCAAATATCACATAACTTTGTTACTGTAGAATTAATACACGTAATGGAAAACAGTACATTTCTGCTTCAATAAGTAAAGGAGCCTGTTACGTTTTGGTAAGTCAAACATGAATGCCACTGGTCAGAGACAACTGAAACAAAGTTTTTAATGCCATTGGTTTATTCTGGATAATCCCTACAAACATTGTTGTGGCTGAGGTGCAACTATGCTTTTGGACTGAGACATACATAGGTCTTCAAATTCCTCTTCCTCTCCAAAACAAAAAAAAAGATTTCCCAAAAATCTCACAATATTTTTAGCTAGGGTTTATTAGTGGAATCTGGTTTGCTTTCCTGTGGTATGGATACCGAGTTTCAAACTAGGAGAACATTGTCCAGTGTTTGCCCTTCTAGCAAAGTGAAATGTTTAGGAATAAACATCTGCTGATGTATGCAGTGAACTGATGAGGCTTGAGGCCGTGGAGACAGTCTTAGAATTCCTCTGTGAGCAGCCATTGAAGTTCAGGTCCCTTGGAGCTGCTCTTTTCTTATGGCTGGCGTGCACACTGTCTCCATCGTTGGTGTCCAACACCACGGTCATGCTGGACTCCATCCTGGACACAGCATAGAGGCTGCTCTGCCGCGTGGGGTGGAACCTGGCTGCCTTCAGCTCCAGCTCCTCATAGCTGGACACCTCAATGAAGGGGCACCAGCGCAGAGCTCGCTTGAAGCCAGCTCGGAACCTAGGAGGAAAGAAGCCTTGTGAAAGCCTGGGCTTGCAAGGCCCCAGGCCTTCATCTGAAAGCACAGAGTGCTGCCAGGATACTGACTTGGCCACTTATCCTGCCCCTACGTCTGGGTGGGCTGAAGTCAGTGGGAGTTATCTTGACTGAAGTCAGAGTAGGACAAAAAAGATAGTGGTAACTCATTTCAGTTTAATTTTCTATATGCTGTCCTTGCATTTTAACACTGGTGTTTTCCTTATAATGGATTTCCTATCTTTTGCCTCTGCAAAGTAAACAAACACTAACTTTCACAGAACTGTCTTCACAGAAATTGTTTTGATTTGACCTCTAATGAGATCTGCACCTATATTTTCATCTTTTTTCAGCAAGGAACTTCATAACTTTTCTGTGAAGTGCCATCCCAATTTCCAAATTTCAATATCCCTTCTGTGTTTCTCTCTAACAGGGATGCTTATATGGGAATGAGTTAATGATTAATAATTGTTCATGTGAAATATTTGGAAAATAATTTTTAATAATTAAGAGGATCCTAGAAAGTTGAAATCTGAATGTGAGCAATCTATAAACAGGCATTTTGAGGCTTTAGAGCATCAGTGTTTGCAATACTCATACAGAGACAGGGATTCACTGTAAAGGCCATTGTTACATTTTGTATGTATGCATTTCCAGAACAAAAGCTTAATATATTAATTATCACCTTGACCTAAAGCTTATCTTCCTCCCTTTTCTTGCTGCTCTTGTTCTGTTTAAACAATCAGCTCTGTTGTTTATCCTGTCTGTAAGTTTTTTTGGAGCAGTGATTAAACTACCACAGTGATGACTGTAGGTAAAAATTCAGATCAAGTGTTTAGGTAAAGTTAACAGATCTCACAGACGTGACTTTTTCTTCCTCAAATTTTAAAGTTGCCATGCAGTTCTCACATGATGACAACCGAGCAGGTAGGTTGCTATTCAGCTTCTCTGTTTACATGCAGTCCAAATTTTGGAAAAATACTGAAAGGACCTCTAAAGGAAATGGATTTAGGGACAGGAATTGTAAAACCAAACCATCTTTTAACTGTATTACTTTTCTTGGCACTTTCCATCCTCTTTCTAATTCAGGGCATGTTTTTTCTTCATCTTGAAATAATGCTCTCTTTATCTAGATACATAATATCCTAATTAGCCTGGAAGATGATGCTGGGGATAGATGTTCTAACTTTGTCTGATAACTAGATCCAGCAGAGGCATGAATTGATCTGACTCCCAGCAACAAGCTCTATTTTCCTATCTAATGAAAAGGAAGCAGATATTCTGGTATCTTCATTTCAATATGGAACTTAATTATAAGAGCACTGTCACCAGGACTTCATTCTTGCATCAAATTCTGGAAAAGATGACCTTTAGTATGCCTCAAAATATTAATTTTTCTTTGACTGTATTATTTAATCCAGACATTTAATTATGCAGTTTGCAAGTGTCAACGTAAGCCACATCAGAGATGTTATTTTTTTATAAATACTTTTGTAGTTGTGCCATAAAAAGTTTTTGAAGAAAATGGGATTGGTTTAGAAGTTTTACGGTGGTAACTGCAAAAAATGAGGCCTCATTTTTCCTTGTCCTTGATTTTGCAGACACTGGACACTTAGTGAAATTTGGTTTCTGTTGAAATTAATGGAAAATATGCCATTTGAGTTAGTTTTGTTCTGGCACGCTAAAACCTTACCTTGTCTTTAAACAGTTGTAAATGATGAAAAGCTCATCAGAAGGCAGAAGGCTCTATGAATTTTGTCATTTGCCTTGTCTTTTTAAAAGATCATCAATGGAATTGTCGTAAGTTATCCTCATCAAGAAGGATGACACTAGTGTTTTTGCACCAATAAAAACTCGTTAGGATTTGTTCACTTCATTTTTTATTAGATTCCTTTTGACAAGTACTACATGATCTTTAGTTGGGGTTTAGGAATACTGTGCAATATTGCTATAAAGTTTGACCGTAATTAAACTTTGCACTGGCTGCTAAGTCAAAAGAGATTTAAAATAATATTTAAGATTACTTAATCAATACTGATTCGTACTGACTGAGTTTGTGAAGTAATTAATTGTTCCTGGTGTTCTTTATCCAGTAATGCTAGAAGAAATACTGGTGAATAGGATGGCCAGGATGAGGTTTGTGTAGATCCTGGTCCTATAAATTGAAATGAAAGATCTGAGTCTATTCTGGAATGCAGTAGTCTCAGGCTAGCAAGTATCTGTACAATGTTGCCAAACTCAATAGGTGCAGTGCCTTTGAAATTCAGAGCATAATGTGTTGCTATCAAACACTACTGTAATTTAGTATTAAGTAATGAGATTATAAATATTTGTATAATATTTATCAACCTATTGCAGATCTTGGAGCGCAGTAAAAATCTAATGCTGAGATCTACAGAGCACAGTTAATCACATTTTGTATTGCATTCTTCCAGCAAAACAGAATTTGGTACACAGTTGGTGAACACACAGCTTGCAGTCTATATCACTGATTACCATCTTCTTTATTTTTATATTTTGCAAACCAAAACCATTAAAATGCTATAGGTTTTTAAAGAAAAATTTTGGGGGTGCACATGGAAAGGACTGGTTTTTGAAAACTGCATTTTGCTGTCAAATTTTAAGTAGACCAGAATATTTACTGGAAGTCTGCCTCTGGGTTTTTGGGGCTTCTTTTCAAGTACAAACCTTAAGAAAGTTTTTTTTTTTTTTTAAAATTTATTTTGTTTTTTCTCGACTAACTGGAATCTATTTAAGTGAAAATTCTGTGTCTTTTTTCCATTTAAGCAGTTTATGTTCTTGGTGAAGTTATGCACCTCATTTCATAACCAGCTCTTACCTCTTATTAAGACAGCAGTAGATAATGGGATTGTACATTGTAGAGCTCATGGCAAGCCAAAAGCTGGCTAAATAGATTTGCTGAATGTATTTCCACCGGTTTAATTGTTGATAGATGCCAGTGACTATGAAGTAAATGTGGTAGGGCAGCCAGCAGACGGCAAATGTCAGCACAACCACAATCATCATTTTTACCACCTGAAAGAAGTAATAATGTTATTAAGCCTTTTTAGTTTGGGCTAGCATTTCAACATCCATTAATAATCTTCTTGTAATTAATTTTTAAGGTTAGTCAAAGGAAAGCTGAAAATGCTTTTTTATACTTTTTCCTTTTAATCTGACTCTTATTTTTTTCTTGACTGGAGATCCTCTCTTTCTGAAAAAAAAGAGCAAGAAAACCTTTCCTGAAGTTATTTGTGTTGATTTTTGCAAGTAATGTATTTGGCTCTCTAAAATATCACTTCTTTTTTGTACATCTAACCATAGCATAAGCTTACAGTGTGTTTTATTTGGACTTCTCATTTTGGCCTTTATTGACCTTGCTGTCTATTTTTATTGTGGTCTGCAAGTCTATTTCTTGTCCCCAGTTTTTAGATGTGATTTGAATGGATATCTCTACGTTGTAGGAAATGAGCAACTGCAGCATCCTGTGTAATTTCAGAGCCTAACAATTCCCTTGGCTGGTGATCCTTATTTGTTGTTTTCCACAGGCATCACATCTGTTAGCTACCATAGTTTCCAGTGAGCACAAATGAAGAGGGGCTCTGCTTTGTGCTCCAAACACGTGAGGAAAACTTGCAACTCATGTAAAATTTTCGCTCCCACATTTCTTTTTTCAGCTATGTCAAATACTAGTCCAGATACCATTTTCAGCACAATATGTCACATGTTTACACCACAGGTTTTCTTTTTGTAGCTGAAACGGAACTAGACATGATAGATCCATGCTGGGAAGTCTCTTGTTCATTTGTACTAGTGAATACTGAGGAATAACAGGGATCTCTATGAACAGTTCCTGTATTTTCTCTGTACAAAGTGCCATTTCATACTGTTTCTAGTTTTACCAAGGGAAAAATACAGAGAGCTGAAATTTGCCATACTTACACGTGTTTGGTTAATGTTTTTATAAAATTCCAACTAACATAATTAAATAATTTTACATATAAATGTTATGGTATCCTCCTTAACTCTCATTACATCTTCCTATGGGAAGCATAAAGCAATTTTTCATTTAATAGCTGGCACCAATTAACAATCTTTCTTGCTGGATGGGACTGTAATGTGCAAGATTTTGCTTATAAGAAGGCTTATTGTTATATATATGCACTGATCATCATTTAAAGGCAAAAAAGAGACATCTCGCCAAATATAAAACATTTATAATAGTTGGTTCTTCTGAAGCACTTTTCATCAGTTAACTATAAATCATCCTGTGAGTAGGAAGATCAGTTTTATAAAGGAAAGCAACACACCAAAGCATGGTATCACTTCTGCCTTTCACAGGTATGTCTGTCTATATGCGTCTAGGCATATATAGAAGTTTATGGGACTATATATGTGATTTATGGGGTAGGGGGGAAAAGGTTATGATTTTATGTGGACAGAAACTTCTGGACTAAACTATGTATGTGAAGTGATGCATAAGATATGTTGTCAAATCAGTCTATCATTAAATGGCATTGCTATTTCATTGCTTTTGACGTAACTTCCACTGTTCTGCTGGGGACTTACACCTCTGCCTTGCACACATTGTATAGATAGAAGTCTTAATTCTGTAGTTTTACCATGTTACTTCAACTCCCTGTCATTGATTTACAGGTGCCCTTTGCTTGTTGTTGTGTTTTTATAGATCTGTCAGAAATGATGTGTTACTTCAGCACCTTTCAGGATTTCTGTAATTTCAGAACACTTGAGAGTCTTCATTATTTATTTTGATATTTAATTAGCAGGCCTTGCAGTTCCAGCTGTGCATGTGAAACTGTTCCTAGAATTAGTCATCACTGGAATATCATAGGTACTGAATGAAAGGATTTTGTGTCCAAATTTTCAGAGTGTAAACAGGTCAATCTGTATTTACAGCTTACAGTTCATCTGTGCAGTGCTTGAGAACCAAAACAGTAAAGCATCCCAGCAACAAATGTAGCTCAGTCTGGTTGAGCTTAATCTGTTGTAGCTTAATCTGTGTCACTCATGCCCCAGAGATGCTGGAAATCACAGAAAGAGTCCATGTTGCCTGTTTGACCCACTCAATTGTGTCAATTTTTTTCCAAAAGAAAGTTGTTTGTCTTTTTTCTGATATCCAAATGCTCATTGTCTAGTTTTCTGTGAGATATTGAAGTGAAGGCAAGAAGTGCTTCTAGAGTCTACTGAAAGGTCTCCTAAAGCTAATAAACCTTCACAAGCTGTACGGAAACCAGCTTTTAGATTTCAGCTGCTGCACAAATTAACTTTGAAGGAATGAAGTTTCAGTTTAAATTACTATTAAATACAACATTTCAGGTTTTCTTCAAGGGACCAGAAATCCCAAACTTTTACCCTGCAAAGAAAATCCAAAATTTTTCTTGTCACAATTTCAGGCAATTCAGTTCTAATTTTGAATGTTTTAAGTTTTGAAATGAAAAATGCCAAATCACCCCCAGAGAATTGCATCTTTCCCTGCAAGGTTACTCTGTTGTTTAAAACAAAATACTTATAGTTTAAAAGAGTGAGGTTCATATAAGGCTTTCTTATTGCTGTTTCTCTTTGGAAATCCATGATTAAATATTAAGTCATCATCCTTCTGAAAGCAGAAATTTCTGAACCAAATAGTCTAACTAGATAACAAGCTACAGATGATTTTAGATGGACATTAGTGTTTGATTTAATTTATGAAGTAATGAGTCACTTGAATGATAGACAGTGAAGCACATTACATTCTTAATAATTCAGGTTTGCATGTAATTTTAAGTATTTATATAGTACAGTGCACTTATTGACATATTTCCTACAAGAAGATAAGTGAGATGTTATAAGTCTGTGTGGTGTGAAATTGTTGGAAACAGAAGGCAATTAAGGTTAAATTTGAAGTCAAATGCAAAAATTGTGAGAGGAATCAAAAAGACCTAGTCTGTTCTCATGTCATCATCTAAGAATGACTATGTGTTGGCAAAAATGGAGGGGAAAAAAAGAATCAGGAGAAGGAGGGAGATTATTCCCAATGTCCTTTTCCCTTTCAGGGAGAGGCACACACTGCAAGGCCATACCTTCCATTTTATAGCTGCAGTTCTTGTCTGTAATGTTGGTCTTTCCAGTATAAAGTTTCATTTCTTGATTATATCAATAACTATGAACTGAAAGTGACTTCAAAGTCTTTAAACCCAGGGCACCTTGAGTTTGCTTGGAATAAATTCTGATGAACAAGTGCCTGTAAACCAACAGAGAAAGTAAAACAAACAGGCCCAGTATGAATTTACCACAAAAACTTGATTGTCTTTTCCCAGTACACTGTGGTGTTTCATTAGGAAACCCCAGTGACACTTTACAGGTCCAACTGCAGACTATAAAAGACCTTCAGTTGTTTTTTTACTACTTAAACCTGTGACTGAAAAAAACCCAACTCTTTTTAATAGGTCTGTTCTGTTTCACTTTTTGAGATATTACTATTTTCCAGTTGCTTTTTCTTCTGTTCTGAGTTACAAAGAATTGATTAGAAAGGTTTTCTCTTGTGCATTAGAAAACATTTCTAAAGCAAGAAAATGACTGAATTCAGCTACTTAGCTTAAAATCTTGTTCTGCTCCTGCCACCATTTCTCCACAGAGCTTTCCAAAATGTGAATTTCAGTCAAAATCTTTTATCCCAGTGGCACCATTTTCTCCTGGTGTTCTGTTCAATCTCCCTCTGTGTATATTGTGGGCAGCATGACTGGAGGAAAGAGGATTTTTTCTGTTCTAGGCAATACTTTTGTTAAATGAGTTGCACTGAGTCTCTCAGTTATGCAACCTTCATGCAAGTCTTGAGGCTTGATTTGTAAATGTAAAATCAAGGTATTTATTTTTATACATTGGTTTTCGTCAACCAGTTCTGCTGATACTAATGCACTGCTGCCGATGTCGAAGAAAAACTCTGTCTAGAAAAACTAATTTATGTGCTTTCTGGTCTTTATCCATTCCTTAAATCCTTTCTGAGTAAGAAATATTCTTTCATTAATGAATGTAATGAGAAAAAAATGTATATGAAAGAGCAAAAACGATGTAAGTTCTTTGGAATTGGAGTTTGCACGTTTGCCTTTGCTGTGAAACATTTGGAACAGTAAAAGTGAAAAGGAGCTAATAGATTCTGCTGCACTTAGAAAAACCAGCAAGTACATTTATTTTTCCATACTGTTTTTATTTTGCATGAAGAATAGCTAGAAGAGTAGTCTGGTTTAAGATGTAGCATTGAGAGCAGCTCTTGAAAGATTGGGAATAATATATACTGTTCTGAGAGACTCAGTTGCTGCTGGAGGAATATTGCCATTCACATTGCAAGGCAATGAATTGCCAGCAATACCTAAGACTTGGACCCTGCAATCATTTCCTTTTCAATCTTCTCTGCACCTCCTTATTGCCTTTCTAAGTCATCTTTGATACTGCTGCTTGTACAAGTACAGGAATTTCGCTTTTGATTTAATTTCCACTTATGTCACACAGAACAATTACTTTCAGAACTTTTACTCCTGGGTTTATGCAGATATGAACGAGAAGCAAATGATTTAAGAATCCAAGGAGTGTAAGAATGTCTTGTTTACCCTCTCCTGGATGTTTTTTATTCATGAACATAGCTTAAACACAGTTCACAGATAATCCCTGGAATCATAACTTTGGCCCTGTACTCTTGGGAGAAGTAAAATACCACACTAACGTTTCACAAAGTATTTCTCCCAGCATGTTAGGATGCAGCCAGTAAATCCACTTCCCAGTCCTGGGGACATACATGGCACTTATGCATGAGGCACCAGAGAGAAAGGAACACTAATATGCCTTTTGTTCTCCATGATGCTTATTTGGAGTAAACTATCTCTCTTCTGCAAGAAATTTAGGATTCAAAGGTAATTCTGCTGGCAGTAGTACAGAGATGGAGCTGACTTCTGAGGTACCAAGTGCTTTGACTCACTCAGGGATTTTCTGTGTTCTTTCAGCCCATAGGAAAGGATGGATTATCAATAGTTGAAGGAGATGCA